GAGAAAGGCAGCGGCTTTGGTAGCAGTAGCTGCGGTGAAAACGAGCCGAAAAGGTAGGATACCGGCAACAACGCATGCTGCGTCGGGCGGTGTAAAGGACAGGAGACCGGAGACTGTTCGAACGTAGCCGTTGTACACCGGTTCCAGAATCTGGACGGCTTTCTCGGCGGCAAGGCATGTAATCTCTACATCGTACAGTAGGCGACTGTCGATGATGGTTCGAGCTTCGCGGAAGCGGATTCCGCGATTGTTGGAGCGGTTAGGGGGGGTTATGGCCTTAATCAGGTTGGACCGACTGCGACAGTCCTTCTTTACTTGTTGGAAGTGCGGCTCAAAGGATAAATTCCGATCGAGGAGCACTCCCAGGACCCTCACGCTGTTTTTGGTCGGTATTCCTTGTTGTTTAATCATGACGGGCTGTCCGTTGTTGCGATGCCTGGTGGTACATATATGGCAGCGCACGCTCTTGCCGGCGGAAAACTGGAAACCAATAGCCGCTTGCGCTCTCTGTTTCGTCCTCTGCAGGGTAGGACCCACCGTTACAATGAGGACGTCATCCGCGTAGACGAAGATGTAAACGTTCTTGGGTAGTTGGTCAAAGACCCCATTCATGGCCACCAGGAAGAGGGTGACCGCGATCACCAAACCCTGTGTGGCGAAGTAGGTGGAGGTGCCATATCCTTGCCTGAAGGCGTGCTGCCGATGGTCAAGCAGCCCCTTGGCCTCAAGATATTGCTTCAGCCTCCTGTTGACCATCCGTTCCAGGACTTTGGCAAGGCAGCAGATCAGTGCAATGGGACGGAACCCAGTGATGTCCTTGGTCCCGACATTGGTTTTCGTTAACGGTATAACAAGGCGTTCTCTCCAGTTTTCCGGGTATTCTTCAGCGGTTCAGAGTTGGTTGTAAAGGTCGAGAAGTTTTCGTTTTGCCTTCGGCTGGAAGGTGCTTTAGCAGCGGGTAGCCGATTTCGTCCGGTCCGGCCGAGTTCCCGTTGCTCCGACTGAGAGCGAACACGAGTTCTTCCCAGGAGAGTGGGCTGTTGATCGGTTGGCCGTCGTTGTCTGGAGGAATTCCGAAGGCAGACACAGAGGACAGAGAGGGGCCGACTCGCTGTTGGAAGCTTTCGCTATAATCCGAGATGCCGGATTGTTTGGAGAAGTATTTGCCCTGTTCGTCTGCTACGACGGTTGGATCAGTGATGGTGACGGTGTCTGCTCGAATCTGGAGCGGAGATGATCGCCGCTTGCCGCTAAGGCCGTTAATGCGGCTCCATAGCCCCACTGACGATTGTTCGGCGTTGATACTCTTCAGGGAGATCAACCAGCAATTTTGCTTCGCCGTCCGGATCTCCTGTCGGCATTTGTTGTGCTGCTGGCGATAGTTCGCGAGGACCTCTTCTCTTGCTGGATCGTTTTGGGGGAGGTGCGTTTGAGCTTCCGGAGTGCTTTTCGCCTGGCATTTACTGCCCTTTTGGTTTCGTCGTTCCACCAGCGGAGTGCCAGTTCCACATACAGTTTTGGGTATACTGGTGCTAGCGGCTTTATAGATGATTTCCGTGATGCTTGGGATGTTCGTGGGTTCCTGGTTCTGCGCGAGGGCTCGGTACGTGTGCTGAAAACCCTCCCAATCAGCTTCCCCGTAGCGCCACCGCGGTCTTCGGGTGTATCGGACAGTGGTCGCTGCCGCACAGATCCGGGTTAATTGCCCTCCAGAGAACGGTTGGCTGTCGACAAGTCAATGGCGGTGGTGTGCCGACCGTTGAAAAACGTTGGGCCACCATAATTTAAAATGACCAGATCTTCCTGCTCGAGAATATCGCAGAGGGTGACGCCTCTAGGGTCCGCTCGTGGGCAACCCCAGGCCGGGTGGTGGCCGTTTAGGTCCCCTATAAACATCTTGGGTTCCGGTAGCTGATCAAGTATTCTGCGAACCTTGTTGTCCAGGCTGGGCAGCCTTCCGCAGGGCAGATAGGCACAGGCGATGGAGATGCTAATTGGATTCTGGATCTGAATGCCGACGATTGGGAGTTCGGTATTCAGATCAACGATTCGATGAGGGATTTTTTTGCGGACTCCTATAGCAACGGATCTCCGGAGGTTGGACCCACGCTCCGAACAGTTATGGCTGATTGCGTATCAACTGGAATTTTGATGTGTTCCAGTCGGACTTGCTGTGGCAGAACTCGGTACCGAATGAGACGGATCCCCACCAGGGGCAGATGGATGCGTTCCACCCACCCGGGGCAGGGCCGTCCCAACGGTGGTAAAAAGGTTGGTCGCTGTGCTTGAGCTGGGTACTGCGCATGGGGGTGATCTGTTGCTTTGGGACTTGAATCCCTCGTTGTCCTTCGGGGAATGGGAACAACTGCCTTTATCCAAAGGGGAATGGGGGACGAGGCCACCCTTGTCCGTCCCTCTTCCAGGTTCGCCGCAGCGCCGGGGGGTTGTCCCCGGTTCCGGTGTGGGGAAAACGTCCGCACCGACGGGGCCCCTGCTACTGTGGGCTACTGCTGGGTTCTTCGTCCGAGGGTCCCAGAGGTTACCCGACAGTTCCGGTTGGGGTATATCTTCCGCACTGCCGGTGCCCTGAGTACCCAAGGCACAAGCACAGACAAACAGACATAACACATTGAATATTTCTCACTGTAAAACATCGTCGCTAAAACATTACCGCCATCTGTTGAGTACACTGAACAGATGGCGGTAGTGTGCAAACGTCAAACGCAAGGGAATTGACTATGCGCGCCACAGGTGGCGGTACTACCAACTATGATACTTTTAAATTGACCGTTAAATGCTTGTTCGATGAACAACTAGCGAGAGTTATGTCTGTTTGTCTGTGGCAAGAGTGTCTTCATTCTGTTGGCTCGGACGCCGAGGGGGTCCGAAGATTCCGGTTGGGGTGTAACTTCCGGTTCGAAGCGGCCAATCATGAACCAGTTTCTCGTTCGTTGGTGGTGGCTGGTGTTGTTGACAGAATTAGAGAATAGTCCGTTTCCATTGCAGGGTCGGTAGCCGAAGAGTGTGTGGGGGACTTAGAGGCTATGTTATTTTCATTTTATCCACCGGTATCAGATCAGAATTAGGTATTCATTCGTTATTTTCTCCTGCTCGGCTAAGGCACTTGCGAAGTGAATACGAGAAGCCGATCCGAGCGAGAAAAAAGCGTTTGCGGCTAGTGAGGGAAACGAAATAAATTTTTAAAGAAAACACAACCAAAAAAAAAACGAATATACCTGAGAGCAGGGATGGATGGCTCCTTGGAGCATCGTTCATTACTTTTTATATGGAAATCTAACGGTAAGTCCAATTCAATTTTCAGTTAATTGGATTTTTGAAGTGTCAAATTTAAGTGAGGGTTCTCCAAAGGGAGCAGAGCCTTGGAGTATTTGAGTGTTCGAAAGTGAGTGCAAGGGAGATAGCACTAGGCAGCAGCATTAGGGATACAAGTACAGACAAACAGACATAACTCATTGAATGTTTCTCACTGTAAAACATCGTCGCTAAAACATTACCGCCATCTGTTGAGTACACTGTGGTGGGTAGTACGCTGAACAGATGGCGGTAGTGTGTAAACGTCAAACGCAAGGGTATTGACTATGCGCGCCACAGGTGGCGGTACTACCAACTACAATACTTTTAAATTTACCGTTAAATGCTTGTTCGATAAACAACTTGCGAGTGTTATGTCTGCTTGTCTGTGATACAAGCATAGCAAAGAGTACTGGTCACTGGAACGCATCCTGGATGTGGGACTAGGAACCATAATGCTGGACGTCGAACGCAATACCAAACCCACCAGGAATGCATTTGTAAGTAGCTGTGAGAGAAATTTAATTGCGGTTCAATTAGGGCATATTCATTTTTTATTCGTTCTAATAAACCTAAGTTACGTAAAATTGCACGTGTTAGTTTTTTCTGTGTTCCGGAAGACCGAAGTCTTTTTAGAGGATGATGTCCCCAGCATCGTCGATTGGTTCTCTGTGTAATTAGAACTGATCCAAAAAAAATTAGGATAATTGAGCCACACTCCGCGTTTTCACTGCAGATTCACTAGAGTGTCCACTTGGGGTGAACAATGCTCCAAATAGCAAGTTTGTTCCCGTACGTGTTTTTTTTTTTGCTGCAAGTGGCTGTAAGCCAATAATACAGGAATACTCTATTTGCGCGGTGGGTCTACCCACCGCCATTTCTCAACAGTATTTTAACGAAGTTAGTCATAACTTTTTTTGTCCATCATATCTCCATCTTGACATATGTATCGTGCAATAGGTAGCATTCATTGTCCCGTAAAACAAAAAACTAAAATAAAATACATTACAATTTGTCTATAGGCCCTTTTCAAAATTAAGGCTCGATTTAAAATGGTGATCTGAAGATGCAAAATGGCATTTTTGAACATGAGGAAAGTTTTAAGCCAAAAATTGCGAATTTATCTGGAATCGCTCTTATAACATAACTATTTATATTTATGCAGCACACATTTGAAACAGTATATAACGAAACTCGTAGCAAACTGGACTAAACATAACATTTGTTTAACAGAAATCCTTCGTTTATTTCTGAATGCGCGGAATTCGGAAGTGTGCAGAATTATGGCGGTTTACGGTACATTGATTTTTTCTTCTCTTTTTTTCAGAAAAAAATGGAAATGTATGCAGTAAGCCCCAGGTTAAAACCAACCCAAATAGTGTCAGCACATGAAAACAAACCTCCAAAGCCGGGCTTGTGCCATATGAACTAGCGAAAACACAAAACTCAGCCGCCAACTGACGGTGTGTGGTAGCAGCAAACGCATAAATTAATTGAACGTCTTGTTACTCGCGCCATCCACCCATACCTTGCTAGTAGAAGCCCCACGACACTCTCCAAGTCGCAATCAGCCAGAGCGATGCACTACTGTGTGTGCGAAAGAATCCGCGCGAGAGCGAGCCGACTTCCTTGCGTCCCGCGAGCACGGTTCATGATAGCTTCTCAAATCAGCAAGTCCAGCTCGAGAGGTCATCGTGGACGACTGCGAATCATTCGGTTCCTAGATTCTTGCCCGGCCGGACGCGCGTTCCTTCCACGCGGACGACGAAAGTATCGAAACGCGAGTAGAGTTGTGGTCTCCTCAAAAGCTACTCACGAATCGCGAGCTGTGATATATGCCTGTAGCCGATTGTAGGTAGCTAACAAGCTTGTACTTTTGTCGGTTTGACCCGAAATCTAAAATCGATAAGCGGCGATCGAGTCGGTTGCGTGATAAGAGTCCATCAATGCGGACTAAGTGACACAAGTGGGTGAAGCGGTTAGACATAATAATTGATCCCGAGTAGTCGTACTAATTGAAATCTATCTATCGACCGTTATTGCATTGCGAAAAGAGAACAGTGTGAGAAGAGAGGAGTTCTAAGTCCCGATACGAGGAAGTCTTATAACTGACATCAGTGTCGCAGTGTAGCCGCTAGAAAGAAAAAACAACAACAACAACAACGTTACATTAGAAGAATTAGAAGGAGTAGTGAGAGAAAAGCTTCCCACTCGGCTCGGCACTCGAATTAGTTAGTAGCCGGCACTAGCCAGTCAGTAGTAATAGCAGTCGTTACGTGGTCGGATACTGAGAAAGTGCTATTTTTCTGGTCGTACGCGTTTCGCGTCGTCTCTGAGGCGAGAGGTTATGGTGATTTTTCGTTGAATCGATTGCGAAGAACGATTGTTGAACTATCGATTCTAGAACTCTAGATATAGGACAGCAGGAAAACAAAAAAGATGCAACTGTGGCTACGAGTGTTGGGCGTCCTGCTCAGGATAGCAAATGTACTGGTTATACCGCTGATTAAGTTCGTCGGAGGACCACGGCGGAAGACGCCCTTCCCGGAAATTCGCAACGAGATGCTGGAGATGCCGGCCGTCGACCTGGCGGAGCGAATCAGAAACAAAGAGGTAAGTGCATAACTATATTTAAGGGTTGTGGTGGTTGGATGCGAAGGGTTGTGGCATCGATGGAGGCGCTGGGTCGATTGAGGGAATTTCGTTCGAAAATAAAATCGATCGTTCGCAGAATTGTATTTAAATTGGACGCTATACGGGTCTGGTCGTTGCGCGGTTATCATTTGCATTTCAAATCTTCATGTTATGCATTAATTAGTCTCGATCAGGTAGAAATGATGTCAATGTGGTGTTGAGATTGATTCCGGAAATTTTATTGGTGCATACTGTAACACTGCCCATAAACGCTTAACTGACTGATCTCTGCACAGCGGGCCGGGCTCTGAAATTGACTTTGGATTTGCATACCTTTTGTATTTTTTCCATCAATCAAATTTCGAAGGAATGGGAATTTAGCAGGAAAGATGCAGTGCTCAGCTGAATCTATAAAAAAGACTCAATGAAAAAAAGGAACGTTGATCCTTGCATTTTAATTTTGATTATGAAAATGCTGAATAATAGAGACCCTAATAAAAATGTTATGGTTAATTTGCTTAACGACGTGTTCTGGGTATCATCCGAACCATTTGTGGAATAGTTCCATCATTTGGGTTATCGTTCGTTTATGGTAATTTTTTATTAGGGGAAGCATCGGATGACTTGGGAGAATCATCAATAACAATAAAGACCACTAGGGGGTGACCTCAAGGAGGTGTATTGTCACCCTTATTATGGTCACTTGTTGTTGATGATCTTCTCAATAAACTAGTGGAAGAAGGCTTCGAAGTTATCGGGTTTGAATAGAATGCAATCTGCATTGAACTGCACATTTCAGTGGTGCCAAAATGAAGGGTTATATATAAACCCATCAAAAAAAGGTTTGGTTCCGTTCACTCGCAGAAGACAAGTAACACTCAAAAGTTGGTCAATTAATGGATCTAATCTAATCTAATCTAACACCAACACAGCCAGTTCTAGAAAGCATCCTGGAAAATGATATATATACCAACATAATTTTTCTTGTCTATTTGATATGTTTCACATCGAAGATGCGTCACACATATCGAAACAGCCAGGCCTACTGTGCAGCATTTAAGGGGCAAGATGATTCAGAAAACATCGGGCCTGTTTAAATCGAAGATTTAAACACGATGCTTCAGAATCCAATAAATGGATTAAACGTGCACATCTCGTACCGTACGTTCCGATTTTGGTAATTATATGATAGGTTGGTCGTTGGAAGCATCAAAGCTAGAAAAGTTAAGTGATGATCCATTTTCTTCTGACGGTTGGGGCATGAGCACTAACTCTTGTCCTAGCCTTTTATGACTTATGGCTATAGCGCCATTACTCGCTTTCTGAAAAAAAGAAGAGGGAAAGGAAAAGGAGAAGGACAAAGGGAAAAGGATTATGTGAAATCTATGAACATAAACAATATTTTTGATTTGAAATATACAATATAGAAACGCCGAACGGTGCACCTTGGTGGTCACTACCCGAGTCTTGTCACTATTATCAAGTCATAAAAAGTAACAAGGACTAAAATGTGATCCTTTGAAAATCCTGATGCTTGGGACTAGCAATCATCCTCAATGTGTAAAAACCGGTGATCTCAAACTAGGCAATACCAGCGCCGGCCGCGCCCTAACGCAGGTCAAGAAAGGAATGGGTAGAAATGTGTTGACGTGACACTCGCTTTGATGGAAGCCGCGAATCTGCATATTTTCAGATAGCCAGGCAGCCAGCATTGAATGCACTACAATCTTTCACATGCCAATCAAAACTGTTGTGGGAGTGCATAATACTTCTGAAGCAACTGAAGCGGAATCTAAGGAAACGAAAAAGCCGACTTACTCGCTATACAAGGCTCAAGTGTCCAATTTATAGGATGAGAACCTTTCTGTGGGGTACCTAAATGTGTACTACAAATGGAAATGAAAAATGGGAAGACAATATGATACCACCGACAAACCGACATGACACTTAATTCTGACTTATGCCCGAAAATCGTAAACGGCCGATTTAAATGTGAAGTGACCCGAACTGTCAAATTCATAGGATTTTTTGATCTAGATAAAAATAATTTGTCCAGCATAGATCAGACACGAACCAATTCATAACTTTGGTCAGAAATTTTATTGTTTTTGCTATGGCCATTCATGTCGGTTTGTCGGTGCTTCAACAACTTCGTGAAGGCTGGTCAACCAACTCATCCGGAGAGATCCTGCGATTCTACAAACGATGGGAAGCGGTGTACGCAGTGAAAGGTTGCATCATGCTCATGGACATATTTACCATTCCTGAATCGTTATAGGCTCCTGTTCTGAAGCAGTTGCATGTTTGTCACCCTGGAATGCAGAGAATGAAATCGATTGCTGGGAGTTACGTCTACTGGCCAAACATCGATGCTGACATTGAAAACCACGCGCTGCATCACAAGCTCCAGTTTAAACCTTTTTTTTCCTCATGACCCATTCCAGCTCAACCCTGGTCCCGTCCAAACTTGGACTATGCTGGACCACTGCGAGGAAAGGTCTTGCTGGTGATTGTGGATGCACACTCAAAATGGCTAGAGATCTTCGCGAGTGCATTGCAAGATTTGGTTGTCCACTCTACTTGGTTATGGATAACAGGACACAATTCGACTCCGAGCTCTTCGCTGAATTTTGCCGAGAACTTGGTATTGAACATGTCAAAACGCCACCATTCCGCCCGCAGTAAAACGGACAAGCAGAGCGATTTTTGGACACACTCAAGCGAGCTTTATTGAAAAGTGGCATCATTGAGCGTAAAGGAAACGTGGTGTACAATGTGCTACTGGACGATCCGATTGCGAGCTTGAGTACCAGCTGACGTTGGCGAACCAGAAGTTCAAGCCGATCCGATTTTACCACTACATGTGCTGTTGGACGAATTTTTCATGAACATGTTGTAAGGAAAAAGCAGAAACTGGCCATTAGAAGACGTACTACCTGCACCACCAACGGGTTCATTTTCAGTTTTAGACGTCCCAGGACCATCAGGGATATCTCGAAGCGTTCCTGAGCATGAGCGGATTGTTCGGTAATCATCACCGAGGGGTGTGACACATCTACATCTCAATTTTAGATGGTCAAAAAATCTGATTCAATCTACAAACAATCTTTTCTCTTCTTTTGCATCTAAATCCATCTACTCGCATCGCCCTCCACCTTTTTGCAGGAAATCTTCAAAATCATCATCAATCGTATTCCTATCTATGAAGCGTGAGTACATGAGCATGAGCATGAGCATGATTGACCGCCCACGGTTTCTACTCTGTTATTGCCAGACCAGCTGTAATTACACATAGAACCAATAGACGATTCTTGGGACTAGCAATCTTCCTCAATGTGTAAATACTGATGATCTAAAACTAGGCAATACCAGCGCCGGCCGCGCCCGAACACAGGTCAAGAAAGGAAGGGGTAGGAATGTGTTGACGTGACACTCGCTTTGATGGAAGCCGAGAACACCTCTGCACTTCCACGAGGAATCACTGGGATATTGGGTAATAGGGATGGGTTTGCAGCAGGGTTCGTTTTGGTAAACGATAAACTGAATTGATGTCCTAACAATCATATAACGCGAAGGAGCTTGGGATTGAACCCACGGTCTTCTGCTCAGTAAGCAAAAACGTTTGCCACTCGGCAAAGGAGCTCTTTTTTAATCGTTGAGTTGCTGTTGTAGTCATGTTAACAAATAAAACGATTGACGAATCTGGAATGTGGATGGGCTTGAGATTAGACTCATGATGTTCTGCCCATTAAGCAAAACCGGTTGCTCTAAGGCCACCGAACCCCTCATATCACATTATAGCGTTACTCAAGTTTTTATAACTATTCAAACCAGGCACCGACGACAACGAAAAGTTTTGCTAAAAATACACGATAAACAAGCGATTTTACCATACGTTTTTAATATGAAAGGACCTGGGACCGCGTTTTTCTGCGCAGTAAGCAAACCACTGCAACCGACGATCTTTGAAATCCTAAAACTAAAAGCTACGAAAGAGTACCTACTTAGGCCTTCATTAAGATCCACTTTCACGCGACGTTCAATGTTTCGATTTTCTCTTTACGCATGGTTCAGACAATCATAACAAGCTATGACCGACGTGACGATTGTTTAAGACCTGGTTAAACAAGCTATTCAAATGAAATTACGTTCTCTAATTTCACTTGGCATGCAATGAACAACAGAAATACGCGATAATTCATATTTTCAGCGGTTGATAACCATCAACCATTTTAAATATACTAACGGTACTGCCTACGGCGATTACGACAGCGACTACGACGGTCCTTACGACAACGACAACAGCGAATTTGTAACTTGCCATTTGTTTAGGATATAACACCTTTACCCGGCACCTCCACTGGTTCTCCATGTCCGCTATCTGTCTGTGTTTGCTAAAATATCTATTAGCAATTACCTTTGTTGTAATACTTCCTGCATTTCCATGGTCATCTGGGAGGAGGGTCGCATCTAGTGCTTTGCCCAGGAACCGTTCCCGGCCACCAGCTAACGCCTGTCCAGTCTTGGTCGTATCCAGCGATGCATCCTTCAGCTTACTCATAATCTCCGACACTCAATGCAAATCGCAGGCACACTTACGCTAGTTACAAAAAAACACACCCGTCCAAAAAACGGATCCAACAAACGCCACTCTCGCGAAAGCATACCCGTCGCCGTCGGACGGTAAAAAAGGTATCGGTGGGCAATTTTGTGATACGGATTTCCACAATCAACCGGGAATGCACGAATTTCACCACACCCAACTGCGAAACACGTTCAGAAGCACTTTTGGTACACTTTCGTTCGAAAACACTTATTTTTTTTCACAGTTGCGTTGCGAGTGAACGAACATCACCGCGTAAATAAACTAAAATAAAATTATCACTTGCTATGCCACAAATTTCTGGTCCGGGAGAAAAAAAAACAAATCTTCTGTTGCTTGCCAACATGATGAATCGTGTTTTCTTTCTCGATTCTAA